AGAGGAGTCAGGTTATTTGCCTGTTAGTGGGCAACGGAAAGACAACTAACACTGATTGGATGGAGAAAGCGGGGAGAACCAGGACTCTCCTTTCCCCTCTGCCCATTATCCTGATCCTGCTGTCCCAAAGGAATGTTTGATAAGTCATCTTCACAGCAGCCTGACTCAGGGCAGTGAGAGTCCATGAGGGATTCTAGGCGCCTTGTCTTTGAAGGGAGTGCGGGTAATCAAAGGAGAGTAAAAGTCCTTTCTGGAACATGTTCTTTCTTGTCAATAACCAAATAGAGGACTCTTCCCCCTTGATCACCCCTGGCCCAGCTGTTGCTACCCTGAAAAGACGTAGGCGCATCCAGAAGGAGGTCTTTTAATAAACACGGTTTAAATAAATCTCTGATGTTGTAATAAGCAGCCTGATGCAGAAATCCCCAGTTCTGATTTGTGGTGCTTACTACAATATTACAAAAGGTCTGTGGCTTTGGAAAGGTGATGTGATCCCATTAAGATGTCATGAACTAAGGAATTCTTTCCCCCATCTCTTCAGACATCCAGTTCTACAATTTTGCCTTGTTTTTTGTCTGATGTCCCTCACATCCAACCTGGCCCCCCACAATGTACTTCTTTCCACTCAGATCACACCAATTGGCCACTGAACTCTATATCTAACTATTCACACGGAGATACAATCAAAAGTTAACTTTTGCATGCTTGATTTTACAATGTCAAGAGGAATTCTCAACCTAGTGATGGCTTGAGTACCTGAAATATTTTTGAAAAAGTGACTGGTAGGGAACTTACAAATTCTTCCCTTGTCTGCCATATCCATTCACTCACTTAAATTGTTTATAAGACAATAAAACATATAAAAGCAACATTTTCACCAGGCCAATCACCTCTCTCCAGCCTCATAATGATTAGCTTACATTCCTGTATCCAGATTTCCCTATAATTAATAATGTTGCATTTTTACATTCACCTCTTGATTTTACTCAGCTCCATCCTGGAACATTAAATTTGTCTTGGCTTAGCTATGCTAGTTTGCACTTGGCCCTTCCTGATTGTCAGGGTCCAGGCTTGTAAATTATGTCCAAGTTCCTCTATTGCTGTTCCTGGGCCTGGGTGGCATGCAAGGTCCTGATATCCGCATCAGCCTCAGCTCATGCTGCTCCACATTGCCTGACTCTTTATCTTCAGATCCATCCCTTGCTGTTAACTTTTCTATTTAATTCCTGAAACATCACCAAATAGACCAAGATATGCTTTCATTTGGTGCCTTCAGGGAAGATATGCAAAAGGCCCATACAATAAGGAAGGTCTAGGATCACCTTGCTGAACCCAAGAGACTAGGGAGAGGTCAGTACACCACGTGTCTTTTTTTTTTTTTTTTTTTTTTTTGTAAAACATGGGGTCTCATTATGTTGCCCAGCTTGAACTCAAACTCCTGAGCTCAACTGATCTTCCCATGTCAGCCTCTTGCTAGCTGGGACTAAAGGTGTGCACCACCATGCCTAGCTCCCAAATGTCTTTTGAGCTAAGGTTAGTTAGCTCCCTCCGTTCATTGCAATTACATTAACCTGTACCATGTTTTATGAAAATCCTTCATATGGTACCCGCAAGTAGTATGTATTTGTCATTCCCATAGATAGCCACTGCATTAGGGAAAGCTGTGTGAAAGAAGGTATTGACAGTTGGTACCTGCAGGTTAAGGGCAGATATTACAAGAGTACTTCACAACTGAAGAAATTTCAAGTGGTAGACAGCAAGGTGGCTTTGAGCAACCCTGTGGCCAATGTCCTCAACACTTGTTTTTACCATAATGCAGAAGATCTTTCCCTGGGACTATATCTTATCATGTCCCTTGATTACAAATAATGGTGTAATGACATTATCTAATAATTTAGTGGCTGCTGTGACACTGATTTGGTGCTTAAGCTAATGAAATAATAGAACAAGCCCACATTTAGCAGCTTTTTGATATTAAAGACAAACGCTGAAAACCCAGGATACTCTCCTTAACATGTGTTTATAATGATTCCTAATTTAAACAAACAGGTCCTTAGCCCAAGATCTTTCCTATCATTTGGATTTAATTTTGAGGCAGTGGAGGGCAGTTAAATATATGCAGAGGGACCTATAAAAGAAATGGCAAAGTGGCTCACACCTGTAATCCCAACAGTTTGGGAGGCCACGGTGGGAGGATCACTTGAGCCCAGAAGTTCAAGATGAGCCTGGGCAACACAGCAAGACTCAGTCTCTACAAAAATAAAAAATTTTAATTAGCCATGCATGGTGGCATGCACCTATAGTCCCAGCTACTCAGGAGGCTGAGAGGAGAGGATTGCTTGAGCCCGGGAGGTCAAAGCTACAGTGAACCATAATCATGCCACTGCACTCCAGCCTGGGTGACACAGCAAGACCTTGTCTCAAAAAAAAATAAAAATAAAAAATAAAAATAAAATTTAAAAAAAGAAAGGAACAATTAAAAAATCTGTTTGGAGGTGTGCTTTGAACACAATTTAAAGAAGAATGGTCAAGGATTGGAGACAGTATTATCTGAGTCCTTTCTCAGGATGCTATGATAACAATCTGATGCATCTGGCCGGGTGCAGTGGCTCATGCCTGTAATACCAGCACTTTGGGAGGCTGAGGTCAGGAGATCAAGACCATCCTGGCTAACATGGTGAAACCCCGTCTCTACTAAAAATACAAAAAAATTAGCCAGGCGTGGTGGCAGGCACCTGTAGTCCCAGCTACTCGGGAGGCTGAGGCAGGAGAATGGCATGAACCCAGGAGGCAGAGCTTGCACTGAGCCGAGATCGCGCCACTGCACTCCAGCCTGGGTGACAGAGCGAGACTCCGTTTCAAAAAAAAAAAAAAAATCTCATGCGTCATAAACAGAAATGTCTCCAGGAGCCAGGTAGGTGTTGCCACTGACTGAATGGACAGGGGGAGGAGTGGAGTCAGTGGAGATCCCTGAGCTTTGGTCTTAAAAGCAGAGGTGGCTACTACTTAAGAAGACATGACTGGCAGGTGTCATTGATCACACCTGTAATCCCAGTACTTTGGGAGGCCAAGGCGGGCAGATTGCTCGAGCCCAGGGGTTTAAGACCAGCCTGTGCAACATGGCAAAACTCCATATCTACAAAAAAAAATTACAAGAAGTAGTTGGGTGCCACCGCACTACATGCCTGTAGTCCCAGCTACTAGGGAGGCTGAGGTGGGAAGATCACTTGAGCCTGGGAGGTGGAGGTTGCAGTAAACTGACATTGCACCACTGCACTCCAGCCTGGGCAGCAAAGTAGAACTCTGTCTCAAAAAAAAAAAAGACACGACTTAAGAAGAAGTAACTGCTATTCAGCTTTAGTTGATCATCATATTGAGCTAATGGTGACCTAATATGGCCACATTTGTAGCTTTTTTAAGGCAAGTCAGGAATCCAAATTGTGTGTGGGGGGGGGGGAGTTTCTGTGAGATAGAGTCTCTCTCTGTCCCCCAGGCTGGAGTGCAGTGGCGCAATCTCGGCTCACCGCAAGCTCCGCCTCCCGGGTTCACGCCATTCTCCCGCCTCGGCCTCCCGAGTAGTTGGGACTACAGGTGCCCACCACCATGCTCGGCTAATTTTCTGTATTTTTAGTAGAGATAGGGTTTCACCTGTTAGCCAGGATGGTCTAGATCTCCTGACCTTGTGATCCGCCCACCTTGGCCTCCCAAAGTGCTGGGATTACAAGTGTGAGCCACCACGCCCGGCCAGGAACCCAAATTTTTTATGTGAAAATCTCCATTTGGAAAGGTTGCCACCACATCCAAAAATTATTTTTAAAAAACAAGCAAAGAAACAAAAAACACTACATAGGCCATCAAAATAGGTCTTGAGCCAGATATACCTGCTGTGACTATAATATGTGAGTTTAGCCTCATGTAATAAACACTTGAGTACAGCTCATTCTACCCATTGAGACTATATGCATCACAGAGAGACTACACTACACCTAAGTCCTGTTTACATCCTCATCACCTATAAAACTGCATCCCATACAACATATATTTTCAAACTTGCAGCCAGGCATGGTGGCTCACACCTGTAATCCCAGCACTTTGAGAGACTAAGGCAGGAGGATCACTCAAGGCCAGAAGTTTCAGACACACCTGACAACAAAGCAAGACCCCATCTTTATGAAAAATTAAAAAATTTTCCTGGCATGGAAGCATGTTCCTATAGTTCCAGCTACTCAGGAGGCTGAGGCAGGAGGATCACTTGTGCCCAGGAGGTTGAGGCTGCAGTGAGCTATGTTTGTGCCACTGTACTCCAGCCTGGGCAACAGGCTGAGACCCTGTCTCTAATAAATAAATGAATGAATGAACAAATAAATAAATGAATGAATTAAAACTTGCTTAATAATTTAAGGAATTAAGGAATTCCACAGAATGAGATGGCTAAGTCCTATTAGCTCTACCTTCAGTCCTGTTCAAGTCAATATTTGTGTCCATATTCATATAAGGGCATTAACAATAACATTGCATTTTCAGATGACAAGAATGTAAAAAGATAGTGCAAATATGTGAATTAATTTTGTTGGAAGATTACATACAGTTCAAGGGTCTAATTCCAATGTTTCTCACCTAGAATTTGACCCAGTGATTTAACACCTCTAACAACTCACGCCTTCCCTACCTTCGATACACTTCCCCATCTCTGTGCATTTTCCCATGCCAATCCTTTTGCATGCACTGTCCATCCCTTCCCAAATGACCCAACAAACCCTTGCTCACCCTCACGACCCTGCTCAGGTGGAGCCTCCTTGTAGAAACCTTCCTAGACCCAATGGGCAAAGTAACTTCCTCCATCTCCGTGCTCCCAAAAAGCAATGTTCATGTAAGTGTTATTGCTTCTATCACATATTTAGTTTCTCTGCTTCTCCATAAGCTACTTAAGGACCAAGACTACGTTTCATGTATCTTAACATACCCTGTGACTAACACAGTTTCAGGAGTAGAGTGCGCAGTACATAAATGCCTCATTTATAAAGATTAAATTCCCACTTTACATAGTGAAATACAAGCACTAGGAATGTAAATGACAGTTGTGTAGAAAGAAGCACAAATGTGAATGAATGCAAGGTTTTGGAAACCTAGGTTGGAGTTGTTTATACATTAGATATTCCTTCTTTTTTTTTAATCAAGAACAAACTTTGTTTAACTTTGTACCCTATTAACAGAAGTTAAAAAAAAAAAAAAAAAGGTTTTACTAAACCCTCAGCTGTTGTCCCTCCTTCCCAGCTGGGGCTGTGACTGGAGCCCTTTTCCACAGCCTTGCTGCATCTTCTCCTTAGTACCTGCTCCACCTGCCAGGAAGTAGCTAGTTTCCATGTCTCTGTGCTCCAGTTTATGGGCTCCTCCCAGGTCTGACCATCAGCAGCCTCCTCCTCATCTTCCTTTACACATAAGTCCTCAGGAAAAGGTATGCTGGTCTCTGGTTCTGAAGCCACCATACCCTTATCTGGCTTGCTATCTTGTAGCAGCTTCACGGTTCATAGCTGCATGTTCAGAAGCTCCTACTGGGCTCCAGCCAAAGTAGTCACACACTCAAAAAGGGGGTCCAGTTGGGCCATCAGATTGTCCAGGTGCTGCTCTGTCTGGATCAGCTGTTGCTCCAGCTGCAATGGTTGCTTCCTGCCTGTCTCCTCTTGGAGAACTGCAGCTTCATCTTTTCCCTGTTGTGGAAGAAGAAAAGGGCAATACTGCAGCGAAATTATTCTGCTCCATCACCTCAGTCTCCAAAGCCAGTAAGAAGAGGGGTATCATTTAAGATACAGAAAGCTATTGGGTTTTTACCTCAGAGAATCACAATTACTTCTAGTCTAGTTCCTCACCCAGCACATGAAGCAATATGTCAACGTCTCCCACACATGGTCACTCAGTCTGCTGAAACACCTCCAAGAATGAGCAGCTCTCTCCAGTTTGATTGAGCTGTCATTGTTAGACAGTTCATACACAAAGCCAAAATTTGTCTTTCATGTATCTTCTTTCCATAGTGCTGATTAGAGCCTTCCAAAATAATGACTCTTCAATGTGATAGTTCCTCAGGAATTTAAAGACAATGGGCATACCCTTGCCCCCTTTCCTGAGTTTTTTCTGGTTTAATATCTTCGATCTTTTCAGTCAGGGCTCATTTTGCATAGTTTTCTCTGGTTGCTTTACTGAACATATAGTGCTCTTAAGGCAGTTCTGTGAGAAGAAAATTCTCCAGGAATGTTCTGATCAGTAGATAAAGCACAACACCTTGTTCCTACCATTGATTTGGGAAGTAGGTTGTCACATCACACCAAAAAAGTCAATGGGTATGCCTAAGTGTCTCTCATAAGCGCTGCTGCTAAGAAATGTCTTCTTCCAGGCTGTACTCAGGCCCAATGATAGAATTTACTAAACTATCCTTGTTAAATTTCATTATTAAATTCAGTCACTCATCCTAGCCTGTCATGTCTACCTGGGATCATTACTAGCTATCTCTGGTAGTTTCACACATCAAAATTGGTTCAATTGGTTCTATTTTCTAATGCAAATAAATAATAGGGTCAGGGCTGAAGATACTGTCCTGGAAGGTGTTACTTTCCAAATGTACCATCAACTCATATTTAAGGGCTTCCTTCCCTAGGAGACCACGATACCACTTGATGTCTTGAATTCTAGAAACACCATGGTTGCAGCAATCAACCCCTTGTGCCACCATTGGCCCCACTTTAGTAGTATGAACACTAGCTGGGTGTCCAGCTCCACCAGTTGCTGCTCTGGATGACCTCAAGCATGGCTACTCTTTATTAGATTGTAGGAAAATTAAATGTGATGATCATTATTCATTTACGGTTTACCACGTGCCTTTCACATCCCTTACCTCGCTGAATCCTTAAAATTACTCTATAATGTTGGAGGCCAATCAACTATTATCTTCATTTCACAGACAGTGGAAACTGTATCTTGCTCTCAGTACTATGGCACCGCCATGAGAGATGCAGACCCCCCGCCATCCTTGCATCTGAAACACTTATACAGCACAAAAGCCACAATGGCTGAGGTGTACAGCATTCCCAAAAGCAGCACCCTGGCCCTGGCCCCCTCATGCTGGTCCTTGAGCAGCAGTTGCCAGCATTCTGTGGCCCCAGGGCCCACATGGGTTGGGTTCCCTGTGGAAGGAGGACAAAGTAGATATTCATTCTTTTACAGATTTTACATAAAGATCTGTGTGGGTTTTTTTTAGGCTTATGTTAGTTGACATGGAATGGAGGCATTAATCACGTCACGACTAAAATCTACAGAAGGTAAATCCAATGCACATGGAGCAGTGGAATCACTTCAGGAGGAACTGAACAGACTGCTTTAACCCACTGCAGAATTTTGAACAGCAAGAAATCCAAAGACTCAAGTTTCCAGCATAGAGGTGTGATGAGATGGAGAATGTTTATATGAAGAGAGAAACAGGGGTGTTGCTAAAAACAAAAAAGAAGCTGGGTTCCTCCTTGAAATGGCCCTCCCTTGCTCTATTTCTTTTGGGTTTTAGGCCCCCCTTTATATAACATGGCTCTTTGGCGTGCTGGAGCAGGAATAAAAAGAAGAAAGAGGGCAGGCATGGTGGCTCACTTTAGGAGGCCGAGGCAGGTGGATTGCCTGAGGTCAGGAGTTCGAGACCAGCCTGGCCAGTATAGAAAAACTCCACCTCCACTAAAAATACAAAAATAAAAATAAAAATTCCTGGCTACAGTGGCGCACGCCTGTAAACCCAGCTACTCGGGAGGCTGAGGCAGGAGAATCGCTTGAACCCAGGAGGCAGAGGTTGCAGTGAGCCGAGATCATGCCATTGCACTACAGCCTGGGCAACAAGAGCAAAACTCTGTCTCAAAAAAAAAAAAAAAAAAGAAGAAGAAGAAGAAAGAGGGAGAGGAAGTTGAACTTGCTTGTAGAAGATTTCATAGATGTCTGATGCCCATAGTACTATCAGAGCTTGAATAAAAACATCTCTACCAAATTCACAATGGAAATTTGAAATTTGGAACAAGATTTGTACAAGAAAAAAAAAATACCACTTCCCATAACACGGTCTCCTCCTCTCCTAGCTTTAGCCCTTAACACAGAGCGTGGCACACCTAACATGGTCAGTAAAGAATTCCACCAACTCAAGAATGAAAAATAAACTCCATATCATAGATAAATGTCTTTTCCTTCCTCTTTATCTTCTCTTTCTTCATTCCTTTCTTCTCACATTTTTTCTTCATTTTCTGCATAATAGCAGGTCTCCTAGGCTAGGTGGCTGTGCTGGCCATTCCCCGTGATTCTCAAAAACACGGACAGATCCTTCTGGAAAGTTCTGTCTTGAATTAGTCCCTGTTGCAGGCCAGTACATTAGAAATGGTATTTCTAGAAGGCTTGGAGAAGTAGATGATAAGCCTGAGTTTCCTTCTTGGGATTCCTCTCCTGAGTCTGAACTGGAAACCATTGACCCAGTTGTTAGACAATGGAGGCCCCTAACACAGAGCATTTTAATGGGATAATTTTTAGATTTTCTTGAGAAACATTAACTGAGAATAGAAAGACTTCTACATTCTCTCACTGCCATGGCCATTCTGGTCCCCATTTCAGGGTCTCAGTCCCTCAGGAGAGATATACGAGACTCCCAGTGAGTGTCCAGTCCTTGGATTTTCCTCTAATACTTTATCCATGTGTTAAGAGTTCACATTGCACCTCTAAAGAAGCTCCTGTGTGACCAGGACTCATCTTCTGAGGATATCAGCGATCCTTTCATGCCATCCCATGCCAAGACTAACATTGCTCTGTGGTGATCCCCCATCCTGTATCTGTAGGAAGCCATGCTGGGTCTGCCCCAGCCAGAGTTTTAAAAATCTAAAATCCCTCCAGAACCTCCTTGCTTTTTTCAACATAGATTTTTGCCAAAGGAGATCAGATCCAATTGGCAGATCCCTGCTCCACAGCAGAATACTTCGTAATTGGATTAGTCTCAATAGCAGCAGTAGTTCTGGCCTTGAATATGAGTTAATCAGCCAAGTCACAACACAAGGAAGCTGACTGCACCAGACAACCCTGTACAATCCGTGAGTTTCTTCATGGTTGAGACTCAGATGAATCATCATGTTGATCTGACTCATGCCTCTCCCTGCCCAGCCAAGAGACTGAGGCTTTGCCTGGGATCTGCCTCTTTCCCACTCAAGAGTCAAATGAGCTCCCAAAGAGTAAGAAAAAAAAATGTGATTGATTCTGATTTGCACCCCAGTATTTTTTAAATTAATCATAACGAATCAAATATTTACATTAGAAGAGATCTTGTGTTGTGAAAAAAAGGAAAGAATAAAAGAAGGGAGGAAGAAAAGAAGTGGGAGGGTGGGAGAGAAAGGAAACAATAGAATAAGGCCAGGCGCAGTGGCTTATGCCTATAATCCCAGCACTTTGGGAGGCCAAGGACAGAGGATTGCTCAAGCTCAGGAGGTCAAGACCAGCCTGGGCAACATGAAAAGATTCCATCTCTAGAAAAAAATAAAAAATTAGCCAGGCACAGTGGCATACATCTGTGGTCCAGCTACTCAGGAGGCTGACGTAGGAGAATCGCTTGAACCTAGGATGTGTGGCTGCAGTGAGCCATGTTCTCACCACTGCCCTCCAGCCTGGGTGACAGAATGTCACCTGTCTTAAAAGAAAACAATAGACTAGAAAAAAAAAAAAAAAAAGAAAGAAAGCAGTAAGTGACATAAGACCAAGAGGAAAAAAGCAAACTTGAGCATCATCTGTCCTCGAAGTGGCCTACTGAGGGAAAAGGGTGGACACTGAGCTTCACAGCCCACAACAAATCAGGCAGGGTCACTTCTGCAAACACTGATAACCTACTAAAACCCAAGCACAGAATAAGACAGACACTGAGATTCAGAGATAAAGTCAAGATGGCTCCTACTGCTGCAGGGAAACTAGAATGACTCAGAATCCCAGACAGGCCATGTTTGAAGAGGCCATTCATACATTACCAGTGAGGTGAAAGTTGCATTCCTTTCTCCCTTCTCTCCTTCTCTTATCCTGGAGCGCAAACATTGTGTGGAGCACAAACGTTGTGTGAAGCCCCTACATAGGCCTTTGGAGTTGAACTACTATGAAGGCATGTGAGATCTGGTGATTCCCTTGGACAAATTTCCTACAAGGAATCATTTCACAAAGGTTTATGGGCAGCAAATGCCCATAATTTGGATGGTGGCTTTTGGAGCCATGACATGATCTCACCTATATGAATAGAATTCTGAGGACAAGAAGCTGAGAGATTTACTCAGGAGCTCTGACTAGCTGACAGTAGAATTTTGGCAGATCTTCCAATACACACATCTAGTATGGCCCAATCTTCAGAATTATCTTTGCATTTGGGCAAGAAGAGGCCCATCGCCAGCACCCTGGCATTTGGGCAAGATTAGCACAAAAAATGAGGGATAACTTCAGGAGTAAGAACCTTTGAGACTGCCTGGGTTGTGGACTTGTTAATAATCTGGAGAGATATCATCAACAGGTATCAATTTAATGGTTCCACTCCTCAGATATCTCTAGGGCAGAATCCTCAGCCCAGAGCACACACAGGATCACTAATATGAATGTGAGCATTCTCACTGGAAGGGTAGAGGTCACTGTGGTGACCCTTTTGAGCACCCAGGAAAGATTCCTAGGTAAAAGGAGGACTGAGGAAAAGCTAGAAAAGAGGCAAGTGTCAGCCTAGGACGTGTCAGTGGGCCCTGCATTCATCTACAGGAAAGGCGGTTCCGCATGGAAGAGGCAGAGCAGCCCTTCTCCCCTTGTCCACCCATGTCTTCTCACCCCGCCTCACCCCGAGATGAGGAGCCCTGAGAGAGCTGGCAGGCTGCGGTCGGTGAGGGCTGCAGATTTGAGGAAGAAGTCGAATAAGGGAGAGGACCACAGAAGGGCAGTCCAATTAGGGTGCTGGGACCTGAGATCCCTGGACCACCTGTGGTAGGGCCTGATGACCCAGGAGTCTAGCCCTCCAGATGAACTGGCTGGTTCCACACACAAGTCAAGTGGATATGCTGGGAGAACATCCTAAACCTGTAACAGAAATTAGGGGGGCAGGAACCCACAGAAATCACACACTGGGTGAGCTCAAGTGTTTGGAGACTGAGGTAGCAGTTGTGCACTGTCAGATTCCGAAAGTAGATATGGCCTTGCATATGCCATTTATCCTTCTGATGCTCTGGTGAATGAAGGAGTTGATGGCCTGCAGACTCTGGAGACATTACCCTGTGCTACATTATCACGTCACAAGAGTGGCTGAACCCACCTGAGATTCTGCACCTCAGGTAGTCACGACAGCATCTGTAGAAGTCCTAGGCCTGGGGGAAACAGTGTGATCTAGCAGCAGACTCAGAAGGGTCCCCGTCAGAACCAAGTTTTCTGTGAAGCGAGTTTCAGTCCTTTTCCCTGAAGTACCTAGCACGTAGGTGTTCTCAGTAAGTGTTATGTTAGCTTACTAAGAAGACTGGTCTCATTTGAAGAGAAATTAACAAATGTAAAAAAATAAAATAAAATAAACCGATTAACTAGGTTTTTTATCAAACTATTAACTATTCAATAATTATTTAACTATTAATTTCTGTTGTCTAAAGTCTCTTAAATATGATTTTTCTCTTCTCTTCCTTCCGTTACTGCAGTCTCCCTTTTTCACACAGGGAAACAACCCAAGACTCAGAGTTCTCCGCGGAGGAATGCAAAGAACACAGGAAGTCAGTATTCCCAGAAACAGTCTCTGCCAGTCAATGGCGCGCTCACACCCAACTCCATCCCGCCCCCGTCCCGCCCCACCCTCTTGATTTCTGGCGCCGGTGACCAAGCCCGACGCAGCCTCCAGCCCAAACACGGTTTCCGCCTCAAGGATATTTATATAACCATTGCTTATTGGCTGCTGGCAAACACTCGCTCTTCTGGTTGGCTGAAACTGTCGGGGGACGTTCTGCGAAGGCGGCTCCTTGCGGCGTTGTGACTGAGGGTCACAGGAACCTACATTTCCGTTTCCGGTTCGCCTCCGGAGCCATGGCGGGGGCACTGAAGTCTCTACTGATATTAGGAAGATGGTGCCCCGGCCTTGGAGTAGCTCCCCAGGCCCGGGTGAGTACCTACATTGCCGGCTCACGGAGAGACTCTGGATCTGCAGAGACATCTCCGCGCGGAGGAGGAGCGCTTCTGGCAGCCCCCGCCCTAGCGAGCGCCAGCAACTTTCCTTTCTGCCAGAAAATCAACCTTTCTTTCTCTGCCTGCAGTCGCTCGCCGCAGTAGTACCTGGAGTGACACAGATAGATAACAAGTCCGATTTCCTGCAGAAGAGGCCTCATCGCCAGCACCCTGGCATCCTAAACCTACCGCACGTGCGGCTGCCACAGGCACTGGCTAACGGTGCCCAGTTACTGCTACTTGGTGAGTAACGGCTGGAAAGGGAGAAGAAACGGGACTGGACCTGCATGCAAGTGATTCCGCTTTTCATCTTTGGCCCATAGAGAATGCTGGGCCCACTATGGAGAATCAGGTGCAAACACTGACCAGTTATCTCTGGAGCAGACATTTGCCTGTGGAGCCAGAGGAGTTGCAAAGACGGGCTAGGCATTTTGAGAAGAAATTTCTGGAAAACCCAGGTAGGACTTAATAATTAAAAAGTAGGCCAGATTGAAATGTCGGTTAGAAATGAAGAGTAAGAAATAATTTTACAGTCTCTCGAACAGGTACTGAAGTCTCTTATTTGACTTTCTAACCAGAGCAGCAGTTGTAACAATGATGCCTTATTAAAAGAAGGTAGATTATTCTAGAGATTGCTTAGGTAAAGGTTAGAATGTCCCAGTATACTGTTTTTTGTTTGTTTTGTTTTTTGTTTTTGCTTTGAGACAGAGTCTTGCTCTGTCACCCAGGCTGAAGTGCAATGGCTCGATCTCGGCTCACTGCAACCCCCACCTCCCGGGTTTAAGTGATTCTCCTGCCTCAGCCTCTTCACTAGCTGGGATTACAGGCGTGCACCACCACACCCGGCTAACTTTTGTATTTTTAGTAGAGACAGGGTATCGTCATGGTGGCCAGGCTAGTCTCGAACTCCTGACCTCAGGTGATCCACCCACCTCGGCCTCCCAAAGTGCTGGGATTACAGGCGTGAACCAACGTGCCTGGCCACCAATATACTGTTAAAATCTAGATACTTGTTTTTTTCCTGCAAGTCCACTGGATTAGGACCTTCTAAGTTTTTATTCAGGTAAAATAAAGTCCCTGGATGACCTCTACCCAGTACTGAAATCCTCTTCTGGGATAAGAGGATAAATATAATTCATCAAGTTAGTTTCATGATTGTGAGCTCCTTAACATTACCATTTATTCATCTTGCATTCCCTGCACACCTTACAGTACCTGGCTCATAGTAGGTGATCAGTAGATACTTGCTCAATAGTACTGAACTGAACAGTCATGAGACCTAGATTTTCAAATTTCTTTCCTCTCCATAGGAAAAGTGGAGATCATCAAAACCTTAAATTTTGGAGAAGTGAAGAAATCCAAAAAATAGTGCCCTTTAATTTTTTTTTTTTTTTTTTGAGACAGTCTTGCTCTGTTGCCCAGGCTATATAGTGCAGTGGCACGATCTCAGCTCAACACAACCTCTGCCTCCTGGTTTCAAGTGATTCTCCTGCTTCAGCTTCCTAAATAGCTGGGACTACAGGTGCACGCCACCACGCCTGGCTAATTTTTGTATTTTTAGTAGAGAGAGGGTTTCACCATGTTGGTCAGGCTGTTCTGTTCTTGAACTCCTGACCTTGTGATCCACCTGCCTCAGCCTCCCAAAGTGCTGGGCTTACAGGTGTGAGCCACCACGCCCAGCTTACCCTTTAAATTTTTATCACACTTTCCTTTAATGCAAAACAAACCTGTGGAACAGGATTGATTAAGCTGAATAAATCATTCTTAGAAGCAAAATGCTATTTGAAACAATCTGTTAGTGGTAGTAGTTACTGTTAATTCTTGCCTGAAACTTTTCTCTAGGTTTGTTGTCTCTCTTGAGCTTTAAGACTTTCTTAGGTGGAGTCAGGGAGGACTGGGTGGGCAGTATATTCTGATATTGGATCTGAGCCCTGTTCTCCCTAGGTCCTGACTTCCAGTCCTTGTTCTCACCACAGACTTATGTCAGACAGAGGAGAAACTTCGTGGAGCAGTGCTACATGCACTACGTAAAACTACCTACCATTGGCAGGAGCTGAGGTAAGGGGGCCTAGAAGAGGTGCACAAGAAAGAAAAGGCAGAGAGAGTTGGGGGAGTACAATTACACAATCAATTTAGTATTTTTTTTTACATCACCTGACCTTAAAAGGATCAATTTAGTATTTGAAAAAGTTAAAGTTCAAAGTTTCGAACCCTGAAGTTTGAAAATTTAGTGTTTGTAAGGTTCCCCAGGACCCTTTTGTATTGGGGAGTGAAAGGCCTGAGCTGGAAGAGCCTTTTCCAAGATGTCATTTTCTAAATCTAGAAGGTAACTATGGGATTAAGGTTATTTACTAGTATGTATGACTCTCTGATTTTAATGGCAGCTACACTGAGGGACTGAGCCTGGTGTATATGGCAGCAAGACTGGATGGTGGCTTTGCAGCAGTCTCCAGAGCATTCCATGAGGTGAAAGTCCCTTAACTTCCAACCTGAACTTTTTGACCATCAGTTCCCTATTCATAAAGTAGTTTTCTAGGATGGGGATTCTTGGGACATTGCATATGCATTTTTTTTTTTAAAGAGGATCTCCGCTGGGCATGGTGGGCTCCTGCCTGCAGTCACAGCTGTTTGGGAGGCTGAGGCAGGAGGATTGTTTGAGCCAGTTTGAGGCTGCAGTGAGCTGTGATCTCCACTGTACTCCAGCCTGGTGACAGAGTGAGACCTCATCTCTTAAAAAAATACAAAATAAAGAAGTTCTCTTTATCCTGTGAAAGCTTTCTGTGACCCAAGAAAGGTTTAGAATCACTGTTTTAAGAGATTCTTATCCCATAAGGTATTTATATTGAATCTCAAAAGGCATTCACATCTCACATCCTCTGTGATAGGCTCCTAATTCATATTTATCAAGGTCCTAAATAAGTAATTACTCTGCTGTGGGATGTTGTATATTTCTTCAGATCCGGGCTCGAAATCCAGCATTTCAGCCACAAACTTTGATGGACTTTGGCTCGGGTACTGGTTCTGTCACCTGGTGAGTAACTTTTTTCAGCCCTGTCTTGGTCAATTTTAGCTCTAGAAAGCCATACTTACACCACTCAAAAATTAAGAGACTGGAAAACCAGAGGGAGAATAGGCAAGTTGGGAATCTATAATGTTTCTTCCATCAGATTGGGCAAGGCAGAAGAAGGTATATGGATTGGGGCCAGAACTTAAAGAAATGTCAAGTGAAAAAAAGGCGCATGTTTAGAAAAATTAAAAAGAAAAGGAATTATCAATCAAAGTTTTTTTGCCTACAAATAGTATTTTGAGTCTACCTTTATTTTTCTCTTTTTGGAGATGGTGTCTCGCTCTGTCACCCAGGCTGGAGTGCAGTGACACGATCTCGGCTCACTGCAGCCTCCACTCCCGGGTTCAAGTGATTCTCCTGCCTCCGCCTCCCAAAGTGCTGGGATTACAAGCATGAGCCCCTGCACCCAGCTGAGTCTACCTTTTTTTAAAAACAATTGTAAATAAAACAAGAAAATAACACTATTAGTTATTTTATTACTAACTAGACAACTATTTTAACATAACACTCTCTTTTCCCAGGGGTGGGGTTGGGTGTAAATGGGTCTCTTGTAGAGATGACTCTTGGTCATGGGAATTGGTGATTTATAATAATTTTGCCATCTTAGGGCTGCTAACAGTATTTGGGGCCAGAGCCTACGTGAATATATGTGTGTGGACAAATCAACTGCCATGCTGGCTTTGGCAGAAAAACTACTGAAAGGTGAGTACAAGAGCATTTCCAAAGTTGAGGGAGTTCAGAAAGCAAAGGGGTACTAGTAAAAGTGTTTTACTGGGAAGTAGAGAAGAGGGTAAAAATTAAGATGAATCTGGTTTACTTTTAAAGTTATGGTCAAGCAAAGGGTGGTATTAGAGGTTTCTGCTGGACTGAGGATGGGTTGGGTAAGATTCAAAGGACAAGAGGCCTAATATTCTCCCTGCCGTTTTTTTGTTTTGTTTTGTTTTTTGTTTGTTTTTAATTAGAACCTGTTACCCAGGCTGGTCTCAAACTCCTGGCCTCAAGCCATCCTCCCACTTCATCCTCTGGGGTAGCTGGGATTACAGGCATGCACCACCATATCTGGCTCATCCCTGCCCTTTTTGATAGACACTTTCCCTATTCTTGGGGCCATGTTTCTTATCTGGATATCTCTTCAGTTTATACCTAACTTCCTACACACTCAAAGTTGCCTCTTCTTTTCTCCACAGGTGGTTCAGAATCTGGGGAGCCTTATATTCCAGGTGTCTTTTTCAGACAGTTTCTACCTGTATCACCCAAGGCAAGTGGCAGTGTTTAGAATATTCTAAATGTGGAATGTGGCAGATGGAAAACTATGGCTTGAGCTTTGCAGCCCAGCACTGAGTGTCAGAAGATAAAAGAAATTTATCAGCTAGGACTTTATTATATTCTTGGGATGCAGAGATGTTGAGTGTGTCATGTTCTTTGTCTTGGTCCTCAGGTGCAGTTTGATGTAGTAGTATCAGCCTTTTCCTTAAGTGAACTGCCCAGCAGGGCTGACCGCACTGAGGTGGTTCAAACCTTATGGCGTAAGACAGGTCATTTCCTGGTGAGTTAAAATTCCTTGTTCTCCTTAAGTCTTAAAGCAGCTTCATGGATTTCATGCCTTTGCTTCTCTCGTTGTCTTCATTCTTCACCATTTTTCTCCTTTATGGGTTTCTTTATCCCTCTTTGAGGGTCTCCATCCTGATATATAATGCGTATTTCTTTTTAGGACCCCTTTTCCATCTATAATGCTTTTACAGAGCTACTGACATTTACACTTTCATGTAATTTAAGTCTTCATATTTTTCCCTTTTGTGAATAGGTACTGGTGGAGAATGGAACAAAAGCTGGGCACAGACTTCTCATGGAAGCCAGGGATCTGGTCCTTAAGGTAAGGCTTCTTCCCTCACTCCCCCACGCATATGTCACTAATTACTGTTATTCTTTTGAAAACTAAAGAGACTGTCATATATTGACAAGGGTGACTCTCAGGAAACTGGGCATATAAAGTCATTATGAATCAGAGCAGTGGTTGGCAAATGAGAGCCTGTGGATCAAATCCGACCTGCCACCTGTTTTTATATAAGCCATGCTTATTTGTGCCTCTGTTGTCTGTGACTGCTTTCACACTACAAACAGCAGAGTTGAGTAGTTGGGACAGAGATAGATTTTGCCTACTGTCTGGCCTTTTAAAAGAAAGTTTGCGGACTCCTAATCTAGGGCATTGCTGAGCTGAGAACCTTGTCACTGGGGGAGAGTATGAGCCAGTGTATAATCATAAATTTCATTGTCCTGGAGTGGGATTTTTTTGAGAGTGGAGGTTGCTGACAAGGGAGAGCACTGTACTTTGTGCCAAGTTCTTGCCTTTCTCCTGCAGCAAAGAGAAAGTTCTTTGTTTGGAGTATTAAAGATGCAGCCAGCTTAACTCAAAGGACGTAGTTAATCGTTATTAGAATTGAATGTTAAAGGAGTCCTCAGTTTACTGACTGCAGAGATTGAGTTATGAAAATAGACACCTGGCCCAGCTTTATTTCTTTTATTTCCTTTGATTTCAGGGAAAAGAGAAGTCACCTTTGGACCCTCGACCTAGTTTTGTCTTTGCCCCGGTAAGTATTACTTCTACCTGTCCCACCACACAGATCTGAACTCAGGTGTGGCCAGAAAAAGTAAGATGGTAAAGCTAAGCCACTCTCCACTACTTTGTGTTCCTATCCAGTTCCTACCTAATGATTCTCCTGGCTCTTCCTACCCACTGTTCCTGTCCTCCATTCTCCCTGGCCCCTTTTGACTCTATTATTCTTAGTTTTTAAGTTTTGTGATTGATGGCTCTTTTGTCTTACCTCACTTTTTTATGTGTTCACAGTGTCCCCATGAACTCCCTTGTCCCCAGTTGACAACCTCTAGGCCACTGGCGTGTAGCTTCTCACAGGCGTACCATCCCATCCCCTTCCGCTGGGTAGGTACCTGGGGATATTGCAGCAGGAAGCAAACATCTTGGAAAAAACAGGAAGAAAAAGAGTCAGAGTTAGGAGGCATTGGATAATTCACAGAATAGCCTAGAGACTTTAGGGCCTACATGTATATGATTTACACATTGTAAAAAAGGACTGCAGGAATGGGGAAGAAGGGGCTTGACAAACTTTTTTCCCGTATGTTTTTCTTCTAAACAGTCTCTATGTTCCTTATCTTAGAACAAGAAACCAAAGGAAGAAAAGTTCTCTATGGTGATCCTTGCTCGGGGGTCTCCAGAGGAGGCTAATCGCTGGCCCCGTATCACTCAGCCTGTCCTTAGACGACCTCGCCATGTGCATTGTCACTTGTGCTGTCCAGATGGGCATATGCAGCATGCTGTGATCACAGCCCGCCGGCATGGCAGGTATAGGGGGTGTGACCAAAATTAGTGGGATGTGGCAAGAACCTGCAGCCCACATTAACGTCTCATTTCCATAGGGATTTGTATCGTTGTGCCCGTGTCAGCTCCTGGGGAGATCTTTTACCTGTGCTTACTCCGTCTGCGTTTCCTCCATCCACTGCTCAAGATCCCTCTGAGAGTTGACAAGGATGTCTAACAAGTATTTTCTTCTATCATGCCTGCCAGGGCTGACACTACCTGGTATCCAGGAGGGGACTGCTGGTATCCCCATATGTCTGTGTTTGTTTGAGATTTTTAATAATAAATAATAAATTTTTAAAGAATGGAAGTGGATTTTGTGATTCTTAAAAAGTGTAGAAGCTGGGCACAGTGGCAAGTGCCTGCATTTCCAGTCACTCAGGAAGCTGAGGCAAGAGGATCATTTGAGCCCAGGTGTTAAGGCTGCAGTGAGCTGTGATTGTACCACTGCACTCCAGCCTAGGTGACAGAGCAAGATCTCCTCTCTTTAAAAAAAAAAAAAAAAAAAAAGTAAAAGGTATAGTTAATTATCCTGGTCTATCCTGTAATGAAGAGCTTCCTCAGATTTTTGATGCCAAGCTTCCCACACAAATCTCAAGCTCGCCTTCTCCTATTGTGGCAGTTCAGATCTCCATAAGCTCTTCGCTGTAATGATGAATGTGTAAGCTGATCATTAAAGCAGAAGTAGAAAAACCAGATTTCTATAAGCCCTTTGCTATAATGATGAATGTACAAGTTAAACATAAAAGCAGAAGCAAGAAAAATGTATAATGAATTGGGGGAACCTGGTGCCTGAGTATGAAGGCTGGAATACAAAAAAAAGCAAGCCCCTTAAAGCCCCACCTGTACTTTCTCTACCTCAGATCTAGTTGAGTGATAAAGCATTCCTGCACATACAACCCATACCAGGACCAACTTAAGATTGAGAAATATCTGCAAGTATTCACTATGGTGGGATCAGCTGCAAAGCGAAATGAACTGCCCCATGCTCATGTTGATGGTTTTCTAGATACTGCCAACATGTTTGCTCTTTCTGATGCTGATGAATTTCAGACGCGAACAGACACCCTTGATGTGGGTTTGCTAAGAACACAGAAGAATAGGAAGAAAAGTTGCCAGGTTCAGACATCCCAGGGAAAAAGAAGCATAAACAGCTTTAGCATTCAATGACTGATGATAATGCTGCAATAATGGGAATGGTTTTATTTCTAAATCAAATCATTTATTGCTTTGTTTCTAAAAAAAATAAAAATAAAAACAAAAACTTTTATCTGCAGACCCCTACTTTAGATTAATTAGGAAACATTCCCGCAGGTAGTCACAGAGCTTGAATTGTATGTAAAAGCTAAAGAAAAACTTGTAACTTTGAGTTAGTCTGGTGTGCTACTCCGACCTCCCTGTAATCAGTTGCAGAAATAAACTCCCTTCTTTCCCAGTCTGTCCGTATCTCATTATTGGATCACAAGAACAAGCAGCGGGACCAGTAACACTGTAAAAATCATCCAGTAACACTACAAGAATACTGCTTCTACCAGAGGCCAGGACTTCCCTAGGAAGATAATCTGGAGTAGCTAGGAAAGCTGCCTCCAGAGCTCTGAGAACTGGCTCAGCAGGTCTCAGGGTTGTTATGTGGGCCACCTGAATAGAGGAATCAGCAGCTGCCTGGCCTCTTTCACTACCGCCTTCCCTTCTGTCTTTCCCAGGGTCCCTCAACTACCCTAGAGTATGTGTGGGAAATGCCCCATACATTTCCATCAAGAGTGATTCCCATCAGAACTGAATCTTCTACCCCCACCCCTCTATATCCAGGTAGAATCCTCCCGTTTATTCAGTTAATTTCTGTTTTCCCCTAGGCCTTGCTGTTTCAGGGCTAGAGCAGCTTGTTGTCTTAAAACTTAAATGTCTTTTTTTCCAGTTCTTACCAGGAAACAGGCACAGTCAGAAGTTGTAACAGTATAAATGTAATACCAGAAATCTCAACTCATTCCTCTCAACACTGGTCCCAATCAAAAGAGAAAGAAAAAAAACAAATCAACTTACCACTAGACATTTCCATGCCTGCAGCTATTTTTCTGGGGTTACAGGAAAGGGTAGTTCCCTCATGTACTAGTTCCCACAGAGTAGCACCAGCACCACCTCTCAGCCCCACCTCTTTACCTCCAGGTGGCCCCAAATCTCCTCTGAAAGCGAGTGGTTCAAGTATCAGCATTGCAACCTGTAAGACTTGGGATGGGGTGGAGAGGGTATGGAAGGCTTAGATCAAATGTCCAGAGTGAGACAGGACCAGATTGTCCCCAGTACAAAATAGCTGGGAAGCAGCTACCATAGACTTTCCTATTTTGGATTAGAGCAACCCCAAGCACATGAACTAAGACTCTCCATAGCTCTTGGATTAGTCATGCCATTGAAGAGGAGGAGAAGACGCCACTGGGCTGTGCCTGGCAGGAGTCTGGAGTTTCTGGTTTCCAAGCTCAGGAAGGCGTGAACCAGGGGAGGGGCCTCCATGCAGCAGGAGGGCTAGAAGCTGGAGCAGGATCTGTCAGCTCTGCAATGCTGCACAAGCAGAAGCAACACAGAAAGAAGATACCAACAGCCTCCTGAAACTCACGAGAGTGGACACTCCAGTGTTGACCACCTAAGATACCACGCCTGCTCCAAAGATTGCAGCTCCCTTGTCATTCTGACTTCTGGACTTACCCTACACCCCCGAGATGGAGCAACTACTAGGAATAAAACTTGGCTGCCTGTTTGCCCTGTTGGCTCTCACTCTGGGCTGTGGCCTTACTCCCATCTGCTTCAAATGGTTCCAGATTGATGCAGCCAGAGGTATAGCTCTATCCCATCTTTGTTCCATAGCCTGAGTCTCACCTCAACCCTGTCCTGACACCTCGCTCTGATTCTCTCACCACCCCCAACCTTGGGATATTGAGTGCTACCTGCTGCTCTTTACTCACCTTTGTCTGTCTCCTCAGTGCCAAGTGGGTTTAACTTCTGCTTTTTATTAGGTCATCACCGGCGAGTCCTCAGACTCCTGGGCTGTATTTCTGCTGGTGTTTTCCTGGGAGCAGGGTTCATGCATATGACTGCTGAAGCCCTGGAGGAAATTGAATCACAGATTCAGAAGTTCGTGGTGCAGGTGAGAGCAGAGATTTCAAGCCGCAGGTCTATGAGGCCAAAAGGATAAACAGGACAAAGGAAAGAGAGTGGGAAAGTGACGGAGCCAAGGACATGGGTGGAACAACAGGGAAAATGACAGCTCTTGTGTGGGATGGTGAAAGCAAGTCAGATTAGGCTTTAAGGAAAACAGAATTGCGGAAGGGACAGGACAGGAAGCTGCGCTGCTCCATCCCACTTCAATTTCTGCTGCTTTCTCCTTAGAACAGATCAACAAGTGAGAGAAATTCTTCTGGTGATGCTGATTCGGCTCATGTAAGTACCTCCCACCATCCCCTATCTGGGGGGTGAGGAGAACCAGAGAGGCCTTTCATACCCAGACCCTTTTGAGAGGAATGCATGAGGAGTACCAAGAATCCCTTCTGCTCCCTAGCTCAGACATTGTAGAGGAAAAGAGGAGCAGACCCAATCCTTTTGAGTTTATAGATCCCCAGGGAAAGCTCTTGTTTTACTCTTTCATTCTTTCCCTGGATCCTCTGATATACCTCACATCATTTTCCCGTATTTTTAACTCTTTTGAGATTGTGTCCCTTAGTCCTTCTGGCAGTCTTTTGTTGCTGTTGTTTTTCGTTTGTTTGTTGAGATGAAATCTCTCTGTCACCCAGACTGGAGTGCAGTAACACAATCTCAGCTCACTGCGACCTCCACCTTCTGAGTTCTAGTGATTCTCCTGCCTCAGCCTCCTGAGTAGCTGGGATTACAGGCACGTGCCACCACGCCTGGCTAGTTTTTGTATTTTCAGTAGAAACGGAGTTTCATCATGTTGGCCAGGCTGGTCTCAATCTCCTGACCACAAGTGATCCGCCCACCTCAGTCTCCCAAAGTGCTAGGATTACAGGTGTGAGCCACTGTGTCCAGCCCACTCTGGCATTCTTGTTGTTACACGTCCATGTCTACTCTTGGCTTCATTCCCCTACCCTTTTTTGTGTTCTGTTACCACATTTTCTCATTCTCTTCAATCTCCCAATTCCATGTCCATCCAATGCATTGCCTACCCTTTCTTTTCATCTCACAGTCCTTCTTTTTGTTTCTAGATGGAGTATCCTTATGGAGAGCTCATCATCTCCCTGGGCTTCTTTTTTATCTTCTTTTTGGAGTCGCTGGCATTGCAGTGCTGTCCTGGGGCTGCTAGAGGATCAACAGTGCAGGAGGAAGAATGGGGTGGGGCTCATATCTTCGAACTCCACAGCCATGGACATTTACCCTCACCCTCAAAGAGTCCCCTCCGAGCCCTTGTCCTCTTGCTCTCACTCTCCTTTCATTCAGTGTTTGAAGGGCTAGCTGTGGGGCTGCAGCCGACAGTAGCAGCTACCGTGCAGCTCTGCCTTGCTGTCCTGGCTCATAAGGGGCTTGTGGTGTTTGGTGTAGGAATGCGGCTAGTGCAGTTAGGTACCAGGTCACGATGGGCAGTGTTCTCCATACTATTATTAGCTCTCATGTCCCCCCTGGGCCTAGCCGTGGGGCTGGCTGTGACTGAAAGGGACTCTGAAGGAGGGCGGGGCTTAGCCCAGGCTGTGTTAGAGGGTGTGGCAGCTGGCACCTTCCTGTATGTCACCTTCCTAGAAATTCTTCCACGGGAGCTAGCTAGTCCTGAGGCCCCTCTAGCTAAGTGGAGCTGTGTAGCCGCTGGTTTTGCCTTCATGGCCTTTATTGCCTTATGGGCCTGAGAGATTCCTAGCTTTTCTGATGGACCTATTTAGGATGACCTCTCTATCCCCAAGGAGACCTCCCAAATGGCTTTGGCCCTTAGACATTTCTTTACTGAGACTAAATAGCATTCAATAGGACTGGACTGGACCCCAGGTTTCCTTTACATGAGATCCCATTTCTCACCCAGGACTGAGAAAAAGATATTTAGGTTGAGCAGCTATTAATTGGAGAATTGGTACAGAGATGCTCCAGATTTTATTCTTGTCCCATTTATGCTACTGTGCGTAATAAAATGCCCATTTTACCCTCCTTCAGCCATTCTGGATTTTATTTCTCCTGGTTGCCTAGAAGCTATCTGGCACAGGAAGTGGTGGAATAGGGAATGGGAAGGATAAGTGTTGAATGCAGTATTTTATTCTGGAATTACGGCCCCTAGCCATTCTGTCAGTTGCCAGCCACACCCCCAGACATGGGCTAAAATTCCAACACCCCCCTCCCACCTTATCCACTGTAGTTGAGAAAATGAGCCAGTTCCCAGCGTTTAAAAGGAAAGCAAGTTAGAAACCAAAATGATGTGGATCAATTATGTTCCTACATTTACCATAACCACCCCATTCCCAGTACCTATTATCAGCCACCCATAACATGTCCAGGCTAAATGGAGATCAGGCAGAATGGAGCCTATCTCCATTAGGTTCCCATTTTTTCACACTGAGCCCTGTGTGGCCTCAGGGACACTACTGCTCTTCTTTGAGCTTTTATATCCTTCCAGCTGCCTTGTGTTGAGGTATTAAAAAGCAGTGTGCTTGAAGAGGGAGAAAGGTGCCAGATATTAAAATAAATGCCTGGAGTGATTACTTGGCTCTTGCAGGACTTACTGGCTTTCCTTCTGCCTGCCTTACCAATTCCCTTTCCATCTAAGTAACCCCTACAATGTGTTGCTTCTCTTAAAAACTGCTGAGGACAAATACGAAAGCAGGTTAGCTGGAATTGGTAGGAACAGGATGGCTATTGCATAGCTCCCAACTCATGAGATGGAGGAATATCTCAAACTTAGTGGAGAAATGGGGAAAGAGGAAGTGTGCCCTGTGAGTTCAATTACCCTCACAAGTTGGCCCTTTCTGGTATTTTCAGCATGGAAGCCCAAATAGCCTTAACATGGACATTCATTCTTCTTCTCAGTCTCTGTCTCCTTTCGATCCTGTTCCCCTTCCTACAAAGTGAGAAATACAAGTCTCCTCACAAGCCCAGTTTACACACCCATAGGTCAGTGAGAAGGCAAGCCTCAGACAAAAATGATTGATAGATAGATAGATGATAGATACGTCTAACACAGGAAATCATTTCCCTAGAGCACCATAGTATTGTGTTTTCCATTTAGTATTAAATGCAGTAACATGTAATACACTCAGAACAGTTGTCCAGTGTGTAGTAGTTTCTACTGTAATAGTTTCTACATTGAACAACGGCTATGTGCCAGGTACTGTTGTGGCAGGCCAGGTTTCACTAACACAGGCCTCCATCACATTTTTATCTCACAGCCCTTCTTTTTATTTCTAGATAGAGTATCCCTGTCACCTGCTTGTTTCCAGTCAAGCAAAACAAGGGGCTTATCTCCCTCACAGATCAGCATATGAGATCTACTTCAGATATATTTGTCTGTCAGACTCATAAACACAACAAGATACGCCAGCTGCAGTGGAAGAGAAGCCCTGTTTCAGTTCGTGGATTACAGACTGCAACTGGTTAAGTTAAATATTAAAAGCTAAAAAAATCCAGTGCCTATACAAAGGTCATAATGTAACAAAAGCCCACCAAGAGTTTTGATTAGACCTTTCCTGGCAAAACTTAAAGCGTGACAAAATAACAAAGGAATTCTTAAGAGGACCCATTTAGGATTAAACAAGTTTTATTGGGGGTCTGAAGAAATTCCCCAGGCCTCCACAAACAAGTTTACTGGGCATATGAAGGAACTCCCCAAACCTCCGTGATTTAGCAGGAGACAAGATAAGGGTAACCACCCCAGCACTTAGACCCATTTAGATGAAGTAAGCTTACTGAGACTCCAGGAGTAGGTCTTCTGGGTTCAGACCTTAGTTATAGATCAAAATAAGTTAATCACTTATGTCTTTAGATGAATGCACGCCACTTACATGTAGACATGTAGCTTAGAAGGTATATAAGCTCTGAAAAACTTTGTAATTTTGAGTTGGTCTGGCGATAATTTCCAGGCCTTCTCCCTGTAACCGATTACAGAAATAAAAACTCTCCTCCTCCCCAGTTCATCTGCATCTCATTATTGGGCCATGAGAAATAGCAGCGTGACCCTCTGTTTTGCCTGGAAACAAAATTTGGTGAGCCAGCCAGGAGATAAGGATGGTGCTGCATTCAACGGCTGGCAGCTTGCAACGAGACAGTCTTCAGGAGAATCCCAGCAGCAGTGGGGTGAAGTCTCCCCCGGGGACCCTCCAGAGAGCTGTTTCATGTGCAAATCTGCACATCCCTTTCACTACTGGCGAAGAACGCAGGTCAGGAGCAGACACACTCAAAGGGTGAGTTAACTGGATCATATGCCAGGAGCCTATTGTTTTCCTATCTGGGCTTGTTAAGCCATTTGTCTGGTACCACCAAGGGAAGCAATAGGGCTCGCTCATACACCTGCTTTGCATTTTGGTTGAGATCAGGTTTTGAGTTAGTTAGTTTTGAGTCTATTTTGCCTGACTGCACTCCCCCTTGTGTTTGTCTGAAATCTTTCTCCACTTGTTTGTGTGTCTGTCTTGTTCCTTTTGATACCATGTAAACTTGAAAGTGGGAAGTATTGGGTCCACTCCTGCTGGGAGGCCTCTGGGAAGGAGAAAGGTTTTTTTTAGATGCTCAATGGTTGAGAGTCAGCTTAATCAAAAGCTACCATCCAAAATGTGTATGTGTATATGCATGTGTGTGCATGTTTGTATTTAAAAGGTCTTCATGTTTTTGTTTATTTCTCACCTAGGATCTTGTTTTTTTTGAGCAAAAGTTTTTTCTTCACAGTTGACTGAATTCTGTTTTCTTCATTAATGGCTATTACAACAGAACCTACTCTGGGGTTTTTAAGAAAAAGTGTAACTTAGATGCTTAGAAATGTCTTTGTCTGGAAAAAAAAAATTAAGTGCGCTGTAAAAGCATCAAATGGTCTAGCCTCATAATAATTCTCCCCTTTTGAAAACCCAGGATTCAGTGTGGGCTCTGCCCAAAGCTCAAAGATCCAGTTAAAAAATAGGAAAAAGGAAGGCTTATGAATTTATAAAATGTACTTCTATTGGCATGCCTAATATGTCTATGTATTTATATCTTGTGTACACCATGTTTCACTACTGAAAAATATAAAAGAGTTCTAATTTACTCACTCAAAGAAAAAATAAAAGCACTTACACACTTTAACAGAAAAAAGGAAAGACTAGTCAAGTGCTTTTTCAAGTTTATGTGACTTAAGTAAAATCTTTAATAAATAAACTAGCTTTAAAAATTATTGGTAAAGTAATATTAGAAATGTCTTAAGAGCTGCCAGCATACGTTTTTGTTTGCATTTATTGATCAAGCAATTTCATACTTATCTCTGCCAAATACTATAAAGTGTCAAAATTTGGCATAGAGGCTACAAAACTGTAACTCAGCTCAAAACAGAATGATCTTTGCTTGTGTAGTTTTTAAAAATAAAACATTAATATTGGTTTAATGAAAATAGCTACATCTTGAATTATTTAGTAAAATACCCTAACTTCTTATCTTGTGGCCTTAGGTAGTCTAGTCCACAGACATGAAGAAAGTTTGTTCTGGGAAAGGGCTGTTACCATCTTTGTTTCAAAGCTAAACTATAAACTAAGTTAATAAACAAGAACAGCTTGTAGATTAGAAGCAAAATTGAGTCATTTTCACTGTCTCAGTTATAATTTTGCAATGGCGGTTTCAAAACTTTAAATAATGACTATTGCAGTTTCCATAGATAATCCAGGTAAATGATTAAAATAAATAATTAGATAAATGTAATTGGGTAAATACTTGTAAATAACTTCTCAAAATTTAGAATCTAAAGTTATATCAAACAACAGATATCTCATTATTTGGGTATTTTCCAATAATAATATATTATAGGAAAACATTCTAAAGATTGTGTCTTTTTTAAAGGGTAACTAATTTTTGTCTAATTCAAAGCTTATTTAAAGACTATATACAAAACAAGGTAAAAGAAACCAGGGAGGCCGGGCGCGGTGGCTCAAGCCTGTAATCCCAGCACTTTGGGAGGCCGAGGCGGGTGGATCACAAGGTCAGGAGATCGAGACCATCCTGGCGAACACGGTGAAACCCCGTCTCTACTAAAAAAATACAAAAAACTAGCCGGGTGAGTTGGTGGGCGCCTGTAATCCCAGTTACTCGGGAGGCTGAGGCAGGAGAATGGCGTAAACCCGGGAGGCGGAGCTTGCAGTGAGCTGAGATCCGGCCACTGCACTCCAGCCTGAGCAACAGCGCGAGACTCCGTCTCAAAAAAAAAAAAAAAGAAACCAGGGAATAAGAGAGATATAAAGAAATTTATAAAAATAAATAGAGTTTTAAAGATTATTGGTAAAATAAAACTATCTTCAAAAATGTAAACCTTTGGTCTAAATTATGCAGGTCAAATATTAGGTTTGCAAAATGCTTTAGTCCATAAACTGCTTCTTTGACTTAAAAATTGTTCAATTTATTTTGGAGGGTTAAATTCTAGATAAGGCCTGGGGACATGTGAAATTAGCCTTGCCCCGTAGCTATGCAAAAAGGTATTAAAGAAAAGAGAATTTATATAAGAAAGGATCTTGTATGGTAAATTCTTGTCCTAAAGTAAAATAACTGGTTGTTTAAAGAGAGGGATGTTTAGGACAAGTCAGAAAGTCAAGGCATGTCAGAGATTGTCTGCATAAGTCATGAAAGAATTTTTTTTTTTTTTTTTTTTTTTTTTTTTTGAGATGGAGTCTTGCTCTGTCGCTCAGGCTGGAGTGCAATGGTGCAGTCTCGGCTCACTGCAACCTCTGTCTCCCAGGTTCAAGCAATTCTCCTGCCCCAGCCTCCCAAGTAACTGGGATTACAGGCACCCACCATCATGCCCAGCTAATGTTTGTATTTTTGTAGAGATGAGGTTTCACCAAGTTGTCCAAGCTGGTCTTGAACTCCTGACCTCAGGTGATCTGGCCACCTTAGCCTCCCAAAGTGCTGGGATTATAGGCATGAGCCACTGTGCCTGGCCTGGGAAAGAATTTATGAAAGGGAATTTATGCAAGAAATATTGTACAATTTAA